AGTAACTACTATTGGTATTTGAAGATTACTGGTATCTTATATTACTTGACAACCAAACATGGTAATCAACTAATATAAGATGACTTAACTCTAGTAATCCCACATAACCCCAACCAAACGCCCCCTTCAAGTGGTGAACTTAAGTAAACTGCTAGAGGGCTAAATTGTAATTTCATTTTAAATAAGGTCAAATCTGAATTTTCATTTTTTTTAAAGAAAATTCTTAAATGAGATGGACATATGCGTTTACGTTAAATTATATGAAATGTGTCAACATGTGTTATACTACTCGTATATCTCACAAATATTTTAATATCTTATAATTACGATCTTAAATTGATTCACAAAATTATAAAACCACATTAAGTTTAGAAATTCTAGTTCTAAAGCACAATAATGTATATCATATAAATTTATTGAACAAATGACATATTCCTACCCAAAGATTAGCGAAATGGCATGTTTTCACTCCTGATTTCACATATTTTAGATTCTTATGCTTAAATGAACACTGTTTCGTTTCTTTTAATAGTTAATGATTAAAATGATCATCTACTATAATTTAAATTAAATTGTCAAAACAACCCCCACCTCTTAAAGATCTCTCCACATCTACCCTCTTCCTCAACCCTCACATCATTCCTGACCATCCTCGTCGGAAAATCCACCAAACTCGATAGGAATCACTCTCGCAGCACCGTTCAATCTCTCACATCCCCCCTTTGATCAAAATCTGGTGCACCGTTCATTGAGGTAAATCCTCGAACACCTAGTGTGCACATAAGGGAAGGGGAATGGTGAGTCGCTGGCGAGAGGAAATCAGCTAGAAAAAAAACACCCTAACAGCACAAAACACTTCAGAACAATCACCCACTCCAAAAATACAACCAATTCAAGCAATCAACCCCAAAAAAACTCCAATTTAAACCCAAATTCACAAAAACCCCCAAGAAACCCTAAAGGAGGTCGCGACAATCAGAGAGCTAACATGGTTTAGGGTTGTTAGAGCTTTTGAAGATGAGAGGCCGATGAGTCTATGGGTGGTGAGAGTATGGATTTTAGTAGTCGAGATTGATCGGAACATGAGGGATGGATGCGAGAATCACAAAACGGTTGGAATTTGCCGATTGTCAGGGTCGCCAATGTAACGCCCCACTTGAGGTACGTAGTTATTGTTTCTTCTTTTGCTCTTATTTGAGTTGGGTTCTTGGTAATATTGTTTGGTTGACCTTTGATTGAGTGTTATGTTGAACACTTGCCTTGATATTGGTTGAAAATAGAAGAAGTTTAGTGTTTCAGTCTTCGCCGGGGCGAAGAAGAATCTTCGCCGCAGCGAAGAGGTGTTGTAGCCACGGGGGAAGTTGCTGGACGGTTTCGCCGCAGCGACAGAGGGTTCCTCGCCACGGCGACGTGCCAACCAAAATGTTTGTTAAGTTTTAGATATTTTCTTCCCTAAGGGCAATTTGACCATTCTACCCCTAATTAGCAGGAAAGGTGGTGAGTAAAATGTAAGGAATTTTCATGGAGAATATGTTGTTATGGGGGTGTGTTTGTAATGAATCAAAGGATATAGATAGAATTCCCAAAGAAGAGTAAGGGCAAAATGGGAAGGCTTGTGTATAAATTTCATTAAAATGAATTAAGTCATTGCAAAACCCTTCATTCTTCTTCTCCATCGCCACTCTCCTCTCTTGCTTCCTCTCAATTTCTCTTTCTTTCGATCAAGGAGTTTTGAAGGGCTTTTGGAGTGATTTGGGGTAGAAAATCAATCTAAGGCACCCTAAGGTAAGAATTCTTGCTTTGGTTGTGAAGCTTAGTGAGTTTTTGAATATATTTGATTATTGAGGGTTTTTGTTCTTTTGTTTAAGAGTAGAGAAAAAGTAAAGCACACCAAGTGAAAGGAAGAGCTAGTGAAATCTCTCCATAACAAGGTAAGTAAATCCCAACCCAAGTTGAGATTTGAGAATTTTCTTGATTAGGGTTTTGATAGCACTTATGTATGTATGTTATATACATGTTATATGCCATGTTATTGAGGCTTAAATAGAGATTTCTAGTGCTTTGTGGTTGTTTATACATTGCAAATATAAGAAATGACATGTGGGTTGGAAAGGTAGTTTGAGATTGAATTAAAGGATATTGAGAAATCCTTTTTGGAAGTGTCTTTCTTTGGCAGGAATTGTGGCTATGTGAGGGGGTTTCTCCCCATTTTGGATGGTTAGAGAAAGATTTAGAATTATTGTTATAGTAGAGTCTTATGATGCACTTGAGTTGTTTGATGAAATGCCTAATAGAGGTTTGAGTATGATTAGTGAACCTTAATTCTTGCAACATTGCATGTTGGAATTTCATAAGTGCATTAATGGAGATGAATCATCCATAGGCATTAATTGTGCATTGAGAAGTGACCTAAGAAAGAGTGGAAAACTTTGTGTATGCACTTGCTCTATGAGTAGAGAACTTTGTGGATGCATCTACTCTAAGGGTAGAGAGAATGAGAAGTGCTAAAGTAGAATGAATGAGAAAAGTAGTAGAAATGGGTTGATGCTTTGTGATCATCACCCGAAAATTTTAAGAATCGGGTTGATGCTTTGTGATCATCACTCGACTAACCATTAGAAATGGGTTGATGCTTTGTGATCATCACCCGGTAGGTAGTAAAATGGGTGGATGCTTTGTGATCGTCACCCGGTCAGTTATTAGAAAGGGGTTGATGCTTTGTGGTCATCACCCGACGTTTATTAGAAGTGGGATGATGCTTTGTGATCCTCACCCGACAGTGATTAGGAACGGGTTGGTGCTTTGTGGTCTCCACTCGATAGTTATGAAAACCGGGTAGGTGCTTTGTGATCCCCACTCGGTAGTCACTAAGAACGGGTTGGTGCTATGTGAACTCCACCCGACAGTCATGAAGGTGAGATGGTGCTGTGTGAACACCATCCGGCTGTGCCTCCGATAAGATGAGGCCATGACGTTTAGTAGGAAACAACAGAAAATGTGAGGAAAGAATTAAGAGAAATACATACGGGGATAAACAGATAGAGGGTTTTACTTACTGAGCATTATTTTGTGCTCACCCCGTTATTTTCCTTTGTGGATGTAGGATCTAGGTGATGATGCAGTCGGAGGGGCGTCGACAAGCAAGGAGCAATAACTACACTGTTTCCCCTATTTTTGCCTTTTAAAATGGCTTTCTGTAAATGATGCTCTTTATGTATAAAAGACTTAATACTTATAAATAAAAGAAAAGTTTTGAGCCCATTTTCTATTGTTATTATGCATACATTGTACTAGTTTACAGCAGTTGTTACAGCCAAGGTTTAGTGTGTGAGACTCAAGGAGAAGTTTGGTGGTGATGGGGAAAGCTGCTATTGACGAAAAAAAGGAGGAAAAAGCAGGTGGCAACATTTGCTAACGTGCACTGCCTTCTGCTAAAATGTGCTCTCTATTATTTTGAAGGTTAAAAAGTAATTTATTAATTTGGGGGCTAAAAATCGCTAACAGTATTGGTTTAAGAGTGGGAATCTAGAATTTATGAAATCAAGTGTGGAAACTTGACATTTTGCCAAACCTTAGATGGGAACGTATCTTTTACTTCAATTTATATCTCCTTGAGCAAACTAATGTAATAATTGATGTAGTAACACTGTAACACACGTTAATTACAAGAGTAGTGCTACGTTTACAAACTTCATATATAATCTAACATGACATTTTTCTTTTATTTTTCGGATTTATTCTCGTACATTGGATTCACTTTTACAATTTTTATTTTATAATCATTTTTTTTGCGTTGAATCCATGTTATATTGAGTTCAAATGTAGCATTATTTACAAGTTTACCCTTTATAAACAAGTGAAATTACATCATTTCCATTATACTAAACTTTTTTCCGGAAAAAGTTTTTCAAATAAAGCATACAAATAATATGATACGCCAATTTTACTCAAACTTCTTACTTGCAAAATGCCTTTGGCTTGATAATAGTCCTGAATTATAGCATAAGAATTGCCTTTCTTCTAAATTTCATCAATTTAAGGTTCTTTTCTCCCATGATCAAAGGGTTGCAATTATAATACAGCCATGTAAAAGTGTACATCATAAATTTTACGTTCTTGGTTTACAAGTTTTATGTCATGAATTGACAAGTTTCATGTTAAAGTGTTGTACTGAAGCAAACCCCAAAATCAGAGTGACAAGTTTTCTGACTTCATGATCTCCAGAGAGTAGAGTTTAGAGCTAGCTTGATGAGGGATTTGATCAAAGTGGCAGGCCATTTGTGAGCTATCAAAATATGCAAGATTGCAAGCTTCAAATACAAACTGGACTAGCTGCCTGCACTGCAACCTAATAACTTCTAAACTATAGAGCTGATATGTTAAGGACATGGCAATTTGTGGTACAGAAACAATGGAGAATTTTGCACATCATGAATGGAAGAAGAAAAAACCCAATGCTAAACTATCTCTAGATAGTTTGACGGTTCGATTGTAACTCTCAAGTGTATTAATCAAGAGGTTTTAAGTTCAAATCTCCATGAGCCACTGGAGACTTACTTGACCATTAACTTTAAGGCCCCGAAGAACTAGTTGAGGTATGCGTAAGTTGACCCAAACACTCCCAAATACCAAAAAATCAAAAAAAAAAAAAATGATGCTACTCGCACTTGACCCGATGTGTGGATATATCGATGGATTTCTGAACTATCCCAGATGACTGCTATAGAATAATGCTCAATAAAGACAAACTTTTCAGTCAAGCAAGTGGTAACTGAGGACTTTGGACTTCATTGTAAGCTGCAATTAAACTTAACGAGACATGGCAGTTTGTAATGCAACAGAGAATCTGGTGGATTCATGGATGCAAGAACTTAATGCTACTCGCATTTGTATTGATTTCTGCAGGCTGCTCCCGGGGTTAGAGACTTAGAGTTTAGCTTAATAAATAGAGTTTTGGTTTCAACTAGTGATTTTATATTGCATACAAAAGAAATGGAGTACATACTGTAAAAGAAACTTGGATTCTGAAAATTGAAACAGGTGACAAAACAAGTGAGAAACTTTCGCATACTTTTCTTCCTTTGAATAATTGACAAACTTCCATGCAAAATCAATTAGAATTCAGTACGGTATAAAGTGAAAAAAAGAGCTCACACAAAAAGCAAATATATATGAATATGTAAACTAAATTGGATGAACTGTGTTACACATTCCAGGATTTCTTACACACCAAAGAGGTTGAATTGGTTCAGCTGCAATCCCTCTTCTTACCATTCTGTACCGCCACTCGTTCAAACGATCCGTCGCCTCTGCATACCTCTTCACGCCTTTCTCATCCTTGTTTCCTGACCACAATGCTTCAGCCATTGCAGAAGACCTTGGCCAAAGCCTTGAATCCAGCACTGTTGGATCTGCCTGCTCTGACCACAATGCCACTTCTCCTCCCAGCACCAGCTTCGCTTCCTCCTCACTTAATCCATATGTTATATCGTAATTATATATTGTTTGCCAAGTTTTAAAGGGTCCACACCATGATCCCCCGTTGCCTGGGTCGCTACCCGGAGGCTGATTATACTGGCTGTTATTTCCTACAAAGCTGCCGTGGCCACAATCCAGATAATAGAACTCTGCAGATGAAACAATGACTCTATAACCAGCATCAACGAGCTTTTTAGTGTTGTTCGGGCCATTGTTCCATGTTTGTAAGATTGTATGCTCGGGTGGAAGACATGAGGAGTTCACCTTGATTAAGTCATCCAAGAAAACATCTTCCCAATAGACCACCGTGCGGTTGAGGGACACAATGAAAGGGAAGGTCGAGTTGACGAATGTTTCAAGGGCCTGACTGAGCGTTCCACCATTCGAAAGGAAGGATTGGATGGTGGGATCAGCTTTCCAGCAACCGGGAACGATCTCATCAGCTCCACCGTGGTAGAATGGTTCTGGGAATAGCTTGACTACATCAGCAATTACATTTTTCAGAACTTCGTAAGTCTTCGGATTCAACGGGTTTAGATGGCCAGTTCCTGGCTCTGCTGCAAGCCTGTCCGAGTCACTTCCTGCTGGCCACCAAAACATGTTTGCACATGTAACAATTTCTGGGTAAGCTTCTGCCCATGATCCTGTGTGGCCTGAAATTACAGAACAATTCCATTGTCATTTCATCAAACACCTATACCAATACAAAATTCTCATATTCAGAACAATTTCACAATCATTTAACGATACCTGTGTCAACGCTCGTAGTCCAGTAACATTATCGGATTAGTTATAAGATATAACATGAAAATCATCATATTAATTAATCAAAAAAGTCATATTTCAATACGAATTTAGCATGAAACAACACTAGGGTTAGCAAAACCCAGCAGTAAAAGAAATGCTCCAGATTAGAAACCGTCAAATCATATTGCTTATGCAACATTAAACATCGAACTGCTAACAGAACAAATCTGACCTATAATTGTTACTGATCAATACCTGTGTCAACGCTCCTAGTTCAATAATTTTATCAGATTAGTTATAACATTGATAATTGTCATATTAATCAATCAAACAAGTCGTATTTCCCTACTAATTAAACATGAAAAAACACAAGGGTTACCAGAACCCGGCAGTAGTGCAACATTAAAAATTAAACTGGTGACAAAATACAAATAATATCGAATATGACTTAATCATTGTTAGTCTGATAACATTATCAGATCAGGTAAAACACAAAAATTGTCATATAAATCAATCAAACAAGTCATATGTCGCCGTGAATTTAACATGGAAAAACACAAGGGTTACCAAAACCGAGCAGTGATGCAACATTAAACATTAAACTGGTACAAGAACTCAAATAATATCAAATATGACTTAAACGTTGCTAGTTCGATAACATTATCAGATTTGTTATAATATGAAAAATGTCATATTAATCAATCAAACAAGTCATATTTCCAAATTTAATATGAAAAAAAACAAGGGTTACCAAAACCCACCAGTAATGCAACATTAAACATCAAACTTGCAACGAAAACACGAATGATATCAAATCTAACTCATAATTGTTACTGATCCGATAACATTATTGTTGTATTGAGTTCATAAAAGAAGCTCACCTGGGGAGTCGATTTCTGGGACAACCCTGACACCATGAGACAGGCCAAATTCAACAATCTCCTTCACATCATCAGGAGTATACACCATTTCAGAACCATAAGAGCCCTTGGCAGAAAGTTCAGGCTCAGAAGGAATCACCAAAGGGAATGAATGTGAGTCAGTGATGTGCCAATGAAACACATTCATTTTATTTGCCCCCATTGCCATGATGGTCCTCTTGATGTCCTCAACTCCATAGTAATTTCTTGAGGTGTCAAGCACCAGCCCTCTGTGTGGAAACAGTGGCTTGTCCAACATGAAAACTCCCGCCGCCACGCGCGAAGGGCTGCCCCACACCAGCTGCGAGAATGTCTCGAGTCCCCAGATGGCTCCCCACGCCGTCTGCGCTGCCAAACTGGCGGTGCCCCCACTGGAAGGAATGGTGAGTGTGTAAGTCTCATTAACACCATGTTGCAGTGGTGTAACAAGGTCATATACAGTGATACGCAGAGCCTGTAATTACCAGAAAATAAAGTCAGTGGGGGCAAATATCAAACAATAATAAAATATAAAATTTTCCCCATAAATAAAATAATAAACATTTGATCACATTTCAATTCTATATATCCACAATCTTCTTTAACATTCACAATAAGAATAATAAAAAGCTTCATCAATAAACAATAATTTCCTTAACAAAAGCAAAAAAATGGGATATTCTAGTTTTTCACCATTAATAATCTTTAAAGAAAATAAAAATCATATATGTAAATTCAGTCCAGGAGGGGCAGAAGCCCATCCTGGACCCCTTACCCGGAGAGGAGGAGACGAAGAGGAGAAGTTGACAAAAGGGCGCACAAGGGGAAGATGGTGCTCAGTGTTGATCAAGTTCAAGTAATGAGAGATGGCCTTGGAGAGATAGAAATGGCTTGGAGATATAATTTGGAAGCTTGGGGAGAGAGGATTGGCCTGAGGATTTGGCCATGAAAATGTTCTTGGTTTTGGCCACACATTGATGGGGCAAGAGCTACAGGAAGATTGGGAAAGTATGAAAGTGAGGAAAGTAATGAACAGCTGGAGCTTGAAATGAAAAGCACTTCTGGGCATTTTGCAAAAGCGCTTTTCAACTGCTTTTGCTTTTTAGGTGTGAGACTGTTAAGTTGAGAAAGAAGTGCTTATATGGTGCACAGTGCTGTCCAAATTACAAGTCATTGTTTATTTACTTGGGGTAAAATTCATTTTTCACCCTTAGATTATAAAAAGTTACACTTAGGTCATAAATTTTTGGGTTTAACATAATTTTTTTGTTGGAAATTTTCCACAACCTTAATTTTTAGAAGTAACTTGAGCATTACTTTAAGTAAATAAATAATGTTAACAGCAAAAACTAATGGAAAAAAAGAAGTAATACTAGTTGATCGTGTTCCGAATCATGGGAAGCAAATGTTAATATTCAATAACCCGAGGGTACAAAAGAATTTACCCTTATTGACTTGTTTGGAAGTTTGCATTTTGTTTGGTGATGGTGGGAATTTTGTTGCTAAAACCAAGTACCCAAATATTATATAAATGGAATCTAAATTATCTTTTATTTTTCTTCTATAATCTCTTGGAAGTTTTAATTTCAGGCCTGCAATTTTGGGCCATTTTATAAAAAATGAAAATCTTACATAAGAAAGAAGGATTTATATATACTCCAATAAATAGCATTGATTTACTTTAATTTTCTTGGGTAAATTTCAATTCTCATTAAATTTAACATAATTAGTAATAAAATTATGCACATTGTCTCAAAAGTATTGTATCAAAACTATTAATACAACTGATAAAAATATAATCTCATTATTCAAATAAGAGTAATGTTAAGTCCACACTCCAATCTCACAATCTCTGACGTGACAGTTCGTAATTGGTCAATTCGCAAATGAATCTCGCCTACTTACTATTGGTCTTACCTATCCATTTATGAGCTGTCACGTCCGAGATTGTGAGATTTAGTTATCGACGAATGAAAGTTTTAGTCAGTTATAAACTTTCGATGCCCTCAATTTATGTTTTGGATAAAATGTGCTTACACGAAGATACAAACCAAACAATAAGAACATATAGAATAGAAAGTGATGTTATGTTATGTGGCCAATAATATGAACATGGAATACTCCAACAAACACTCTTTCATGTAAAATGTCACACTACCATTCAACGGATTTCCCAATGTTAAATTGGCAGGCCCGGCCGGTTCTCTTCTCTGTTGTTCTTTCTCTCTGTCACCATCATCTCTTCAACATTGAGACTTGGAATCAGAACAAAATAAAGCTCATACTTGACTGAATTTTAGTGCAGCTTTTGACACTATTGTGACAATGGAGATTCAGAATAATAATGTATAGAATAAATATATGTGGCGCCGCCACATGTATAGCTTGGTTTCTTAGTTTATTCTTGAAAAGAAAGACATGGTTAAGGTATATAAAATAATGGATTAATTATTTCTTTATTTAGTGATAGATAGAAAGGGACAAAAGAAAGGTCTTCTTTTATGAAGTTTCCACCATTTGTCGAAAAAATGAATATTATCTTCTTTGTTCAACCAGTAAGATTCGAACTCAGATAAAGTTCAGATCATCTGTTAGATTTCTAATATATCTTTAGTATGATTTGAATTCAAATAAAGTTTCAACGTCCATCAAAGAAAAGAGTGAATGGATCTTATGGTATTCGTTTCCCCTTCATATTTCATGAATATCGTCTAGATCTATAGGCATAAAAGTTGATAAAATCATTTAACATTCAATCAATGACAAGTGGTACGAGAACATACTCAAATTCTAATTTACCGTATAAGTTTCTCAAACCAACCAAAAGATGCGTCGGACAATTTAACGATAGTACTATATTTGATGAGAACATCACATAATTAGATGACATTAAACGAAAATGATTAAGACTTAGGACTCAAGAGAGTATGTAAAACATTACCTAATAGACTAGTCTTACCAGAATTGGTAACTGTGACTGTGATAAGAGGAAAGTAAGCTTCATTACACAATGAAATTATCTAAATTGCCAACATCTTCCAATTTCAACTTGAGCAGAATCCTGTTATTTTGTGTATGAGAAAGCAGTAGAGAAAAACATACATAATTTTATAACAAAATGAACATTCAATAAGAGCATGGCATAAAAATGCTCATCCATGTATAAAGGTTCCAACTAAACAGCACCATAACATCTTTTTCTTCGGAAGGAATAAGAAGTGAGCCTGAATTCAAAAATTCTGAGACCAAAATTCAAATATGGAATGCATTTCAGCAAAATGTGTTACAGTGTCTCTAAAGATTCCAAATTCAGCTGATAAACTACATGAAAAATACAAACTCTTGAAAAATGCCCACCATGTAGTATACAAGGTAAGACCAGAACCATGAAGTAATTACAGTCTGTAAAACCGATTCAGAGAGATGTTGATAAATGCCTACTTCAGATTTCTCCTAGATAAATCTGTTTATCACTACTGCACGATCCAATAACGGGTTCATTTGGATGGAAGACACACTCATTGACGGATCCAGTATGGCCAGGGAGCTTATACAAGATGCGCCGTGAAGTTGTGTCCCATATGTAAACCATCCTATCTGAACTACCAGCTGTGACCTTGCTTCCATCAGGTGACCAACTACATTTCAGCAAATTCTTTTCGAAGTTGTGTTGGTGCCCTTCCAAGATCTTCACACAGCGATTTTGTGGCGCATATGGACGCATATCCCATATGCAGAGCTTGCAGTCCATGCCATTAGTAAGGAGATAGGAACCGTCAGGACTCAAACTCATGCCTGTTATCATATCTTGATGGCCTTGAAGCGTCATGGTTACTTCACCTTTACGCAAGTCCCAAACCTTGACATCATTGTCAATGCCACCAGTGAAGATCTTATCGGAAGCATCAGAGAAACTGACAGCTGTGATTTGGTATTTATCTGGAAATGTTTGGATAGCACCTCTCTGACGCATATCCCACAGTTTAGCAGTTCCATCATCAGATCCACTAACAACAAGAGGTGGTCCTCTCCGAGAAGGGCAACAAGAATTCACAAAAGAGTTATGTTCTGCCATCTTTTTAACTTGTTTCCCTGTTTCAACATCCCATGCCCTCAAAGTTTTGTCAGGGCTGGCTGATATTATCTGGGACCCATCAGTTGTCCAGTGAAGATCCAGAATTGCATTCTTGTGTCCTCTAAGAACCATGAAATTTTTGCAATCTCCATGCACATACCAAAGGAAGATGTCTCTGTCATGGGAACCAGAAGCAATGACTGTTCCAGCAGGATTGAACTTCACTGTATATACAGCACTCTGGTGACCAGTCAACAACATGATTGGCGATTCCAAACTTGATGTCCGTTGTTTCCCATTTGGCCCTGGTGCTTGGGAAGGATTATAAGGAACAGTAGACCACTCCATTGGCCTCGGACCAACCGTAGACAAAGCATTTTCATTCTCTCTTGGAGGTGTAACAACTTCCATCTTTCCCTCTGCTTGATGTCCCAACAGTAAAGGCTCACTACAATGATCTACAATACAGAAGAACCGTGAAAGAAATTAGCCAAAATAATTAAACAATAAAGAAGAGATTACACACGCCAAATATCTTTAAGTCAAGACTTTGCAAAGCAGATTCATAAATACATCCCAGGACAATCCCCTATCTTTGTCCTCTTTGAACTTAAAAAGTTAGCTTAATTACCATGAAAACTCGATTCATGATTAAGGAAATATGGACTTAAAGAAACCAACAAGCATTTGGGAATCAAGCATTATGGAACCATCTAACTACATCTGACACTAACAAAAGTCAGAGTCACTCATATCATCTACACACCAGTAACAATTTTAAGTTTTGAAACTACACAAATCACTTGAGGTACAAATGCTGAAACCTCAATATTGTCCATTAGGCATTCCAGCTCCCCAAAAATCTAGTTATGGACACTCATCATAACTTGTTTCACACATATATCATTTGCTATTCAATCTAGCATCTTTTATATGGTGGCATAAACAATTTACATAAATTCCTACCTCAATACCAGAATAAACATTAAACAAAATCCAAAGTGGAATCGGAACATCAAATTATGCAGTCATGAAATGCAAAAGAGATGTGATATAATCTTTACATGTTGCAGGCTACAATTATTTTCACAAAGAGGCTAAGCAAATCGTGTGTTGATGTGGACAAGATACCTAAAACCAAAAGAAGAAAAAAAAAAAACACAAAAATAAAAAAAAAAAAAAAAAAAAAAAAAACCATTAAATGCACATTAAACTGAAACCAAAATCTACATTAGGTAGCCGAAGTACAAGTTACATTGCACATCTAATTATTAACTAGTATACAATCAAAACCAACAGCTATGTTGACTCAGATAGAACAAGAAAAAAGAAAACTAATCAGATTCATATCAGAACAAAACTTGAATTCACAACAGAAACTACAACCAACCCTGAGTGTCACTAACATCAAATTAACCCACATTTCTGCATCTATTAGGCATGAAAAAAAAAAACCCTAATTTCTCAAATAATTCTTTCCCTAACCAAATGGGTAACGATAAAACATAAAATGAAACCAAAACAAAGCTTTTGCATCAGTGAAATTAAAAAACTAAGCTACAAGAATCTGTACAACTAGCAATTCAATGTTAACAAAAGCTTTGGTACTAATCCACAATTTTCAATCATTTTTTTTTTTTCATTCTTTAAGCTTCATTGTCAATGAACTAACTACCCTAATTTAGAAAGTAAGAAAAAAAAAAAAAAACACACATTTGCGCACAAATTAGGCATGAAAACCCTAATTTCTAAAATAATTTCTCCACCAATCAAATGGGCACCTAAAGAAACTCTAATAAAACAAAACCAAACATTTCAATCGGAAGAGTTCAAAAAATAAGCACAGGAATCTCTAAAACGTGCAATTCAAAGTTAACAAAAGCTCTTGCTACTGACCCACAATTTCCAGTCCAGTTCTCTCTATTTTATTCGTTCATTAAGCTTCATTTTCACTACACTTACTGCAATTCAATGAATTTTTAAGGCACAAAGAGGTAATGGAAGAGAGAAAATACCTGGTTCTGGTAAACCCTAGAGGGTTCTTTGTGAATGAGATCGTGCAAAACTGCAAATACACCACTGTCGAAATTTCCTTGACGCTTTAGTTCAGTTGTATAGGAAAACGACGTCGTTTACGATAATGGAACCTCCAAGGGAAAATATCTTCAATTTCCCCTGGAGGTCTGTGAAATATCAATTATCCACTTAGTTTCAAAATTTGACTTTAACATCCTTTACCATTAAGACATCTCAATTTAGTTAACTAACTTAAGTGTCAAAGCTATTGTTACACAACTTTTAGCTCAAACATATGATATAAATTATTTGCATTCATTCGAACGCAATTTAATGCTTTAAAAATTGTTTAGTTGATATTCAAAACAATCGACTTTAATGTCTTTTTATTAGCAAAATCGCGTAAGATGAAAAACATAATAGTTTAAGTCTCGTTTTAGCTATAGGATGTGGGAAGCCAAATAGCAAAATCGCATAAGATGAAAAACATAATGGTTTAGGTCTCGTTTTAACTATAGGATGTGGGAAGCCAAATAGCAAAATCGTGCAAGATGAAAACATAATAGTTTAGCCTTAGTTCTCACAGGAGGATGTGAGAAGCTTAATAGCAAAATCATACAAGATGAAAACAAACTAGTTTACGCTTAGTTTCCACAAGATGACGTGGGAAACTAATAGAAAAATTGTGCACGATGATAACATAATAGTTTAGGCTTAGTTTCTACCAGAGGACGTGGAAAACCTAATAACAAAATTGTGAACGATGGACTTGGTATAGAAAAAGACTTCCTCTAGAACAAAAATATCTTAAAATTTTCCTTTCACTATAGATTATACACAAGAATTAGGCTAAACCTTAATTCCCAAATTTTTTTAATCATTTTGTTCTTTCATTTATTCTTTTGTTTTTGGGTCAATGCATAATTAAAAATATATGGGTTTCACTTTCAATCAACAACTCTTAATTATTAATTATTACTCTAATTAATTAATAATTACATAACATAAACCATCCAAACAAGCCCTTAAATACTCTCCAAACTTGGTAATCAAATTCAAAAAAGTTAATCTCACAGAACCCTAAAGTTTTACGCTATTTAAAATACCCCAACACATTTCAAAAATTCAAATCATGTCCCTCGATCCAGAGCCTCCCCCTTCTTCCTCAAGCAGCCGCGATTGGTTCTTCCCTTCACACTCCTTTGTTCACTCCTCTCATCAGTCCACGCCGAAATACCAAAAACACCCTCGTCGGTTCTCCACGAATACTAGACTGTCCCAGCCACGTCAGCCCGATTCGAAACCCCCCAGAACACCGTCGTTTCGCTCTGTTTCGTCCTCCAACTCCTCCTTAAGAGACTCCAACTATGCAGGGGTTAGAAAAAGAGCGTTGTACTCCACGCGCCGCGCGGAGCAGCCGCCGAAGCTCGAAGAAATCGGCGCCGAATCGGACCGAAATGCCGGCATTTCGGGCGAAAAAACCGGCGAGAAGAATGTTGGGTTTTCGGGTCAACGGGTCAAGGTCCGATGGCAGATGGCGATTTGCTTAGCGGTAGGTGTGGCTTCTGTGTGTAAAATTCTTGAAAGTTTTGGGCTTTCTTTTAATTTTGTTTGAAAGACGAAAATTTTAGGTTGAATTAGTATTGTTTGAAATAATTGCAGGTTGTGCTCACAGCTTTTAGTTCTTTGGTGCACAAGAATTTCTACTTACATAACCAAATAAATGAATTGCAGGTATATTTTATTTATTTATTTTTGTTAATTGTTAAATTTTAAATTTGGTTGAATTTATTAATCAAAGTTATGGCGGTTAATTTAGTTGTGCAACGTTTCATGAATTTTGCCACTACATTTAAGAAAGTAAAAATTCTGCTTTTGAAAGCAATGATAAAGTTTTGCTTTTGCTATTTCAACAATGGTACTTTGATTTAAATGTAACAATTATTGTTTCTTTTGTTTTCAAAAGCGAAAATTTATCTTTAGATCGACCAAACAGCATTTTCACCATTGATTAAGCTTTTCTGTGAATCATGGTTTAATCTACAAGATATAAATAAGATTTTTTCGGCTTTTATAGTTGAGCGATTAAATTAATTGTTTAAAACTGAAAATGATATGTTTTGTTGTCATCTATCATGGTGCTTGCTTTGCATTTGCAGGAACAGGTCTCAAAACTGAACATTAGTTACGAGCTTGCAATTGTTGGATTCTATCCATGTCATTAGCTCCATATCAGAGGAAGTGATGAACACCTAGCAAAGGCTTAAAAATCTGGCTCTAATTTTCTCGCTGACACTTTTACAATCCCGGTTCTTATTTTGAAGTACATTGATTATGTCTCTAGATCAAGTCATCAGAAATATTTCAGAAGAAGTTCTAATAAGCAGCTTGCATACCAGGTGGACATATTTTTATCAGTCCATCCATATGCGAAGCCATTGGCATTGTTGCTTGCAACACTACTTCTTATTTGTCTTGGGGGTTTGGCACTCTATGGTGTGACCGATGATGGCTTAGCAGATTGCCTTTGGTTATCCTGGACATACGTTGCTGATTCGGGCAACCATGCAAACTCTGAAGGGATTGGTCCAAGGCTAGTTTCCGTTTCCATTAGTTTTGGTGGATGCTTATATTCGCGATGATGCTTGGACTTGTTTCTGATGCAATTTCTGAGAAGTTTGACTCACTAAGGAAAGGAAGAAGTGGGTAGTTGAGCGAAATCACACCCTAATTCTTGTTGGAGTGATAAACTGGTAAAGTTCATACACAGAGACTGTCCATGCGAAACTTTTTTTCTTGTGCTTAATTTTTGCATTTTTTATTTATTTTATTTTATCAAGTATATGGCTCGATATCTTAAATTTATTCATCTTTAATCAGTAAATTTGTTGCTTATTCGATATGATTCTGCCTTAACTGGAGGCATGGATTTGAATTCTGTGTTCTTATATTTCAGACCAAAGAAAAATCAGGACTAGCCAATGCATTTTAGGGTACATAATGTTCAACATTATAAATGGGAATTTCATATTATGGAGTCCACATGTAAACCCACTTTATAGCTGCTTCTTCCAACCCAACCCTTCCTCTCAAAAGGGATGAAACAATAAAAATGGATGAAAGCACTGATTTTTTGAAAAATTAGATGGTACATATTAGAAGAATAAATCGTATTAAGGGTCGTGTATTTTATTTTGATTATTATGTACTGGAAAGTCTATCATATAATATAAAGACTGATCTCGAGATGAATAAGAGGGCTATTTGGTACACTATTCATGTACAATTATTTGAAAATTATGATACACTTCAAGTTTTAAATTAACATGGAATCAATTACAAAAGAACAGCGAAAATAAATAAATAATTGATTTGTTTAAGATTTTAACTACTTCTTAGGATTTTATTTGAGAGTCGTTTTTAAAACTTTCAACTAAACGTATTTTCTTAACTTTTATGTATCCCTTGTTTTCGAGGAAGAATTATTTCCAGATTTCAAATCAAACAATCCCTAAAATATTCTATTGCTTTTTTTTTCTTTTTAGTTACTCTGGTATGTAATTTTTATATTTGTCAACTTAGTGTTTGATTTGGCTATCAAATCCTGCATCAGATTTTCAAGTTATATGCTCCACATTCCATGATTGGAGATTGTGTCCGCTTGGTTAATCATTTTCCTGCTCACCAATTATTTTGTGGTGAAATCAGGGATCACTACTGAATCAACTAGCAATAGCCAATGAGGGCTTGGGTGGAGTTGTGGTTGTGGTGATGGCTGAACGTGGCAAAGAGGAGATGGAACTTGACATTGCGAAAATGGAGTTTGATTTCAAAGGGACATCTGTAATATGCAGAAGTGGTAGCCCTCTTATTCTGGCTGACCTTAAAAAGGTGTGCATACTTTCTTTTCTTGGTTCATGTCATAATTGTTATTTTCTCTTTATAGATTTTTAAAATCCTGTTCTCTACTTCTCTAAGGAGACGCCATTTGTTGGACACAATTTTATGATTGTCCAAGAAGCTGTTTCAAGAAAAATAAAATTGAATTAGAAGGAAACAAGGGTTTTCCAGGACTTGGATTTTGCATCTAATTTGCTTACTTCTGAGTTGAGTTTGGTTCTTCTAAGCAGTTTTTGTGGCTAGCATTTGCAGTCATTTAACCTGGTTCAACTAATTATCTAATCTATAATGGATGATGGTTAGGTGATGCTGAAAACCATGTACTTTTATCTGTTTTGCTAATATGAATGTTCTCAGGTATCTGTCTCCAAGGCTCGTGCCATAATTGTCCTGGCTGAAGATGGAAATGCTGATCAGGTCTACTTGAGTGAAGATATTTAATGTGCCTCATCTTTGATATTCATAATATTGATCACTGTTAATTCATTCACGGTCTTACAGAGTGATGCTCGTGCTCTAAGAACAGTCTTAAGTCTAACAGGAGTAAAAGAAGGGTTGAGAGGGCACATTGTGGTAGAACTAAGTGATCTTGACAATGAGGTCCTAGTTAAACTTGTTGGAGGAGAACTTGTTGAAACCGTTGTAGCTCATGATGTCATTGGGCGCTTGATGATTCAATGTGCTCGGCAGCCTGGACTTGCACAGGTTCATTTTTGCGATTTTAGGCACTATGGTCTTCATATTAAGTTTGGTGGCATTGTCTTTATGTCAGTGGAAAAATTAATTTTTATGGTTCATTCTTTTTATTGCTTATTACTGTTACATTATGCAATTGTCATTCAGTTGTTTTTTGCTCATGGACTGGATGTGACAGATCTGGGAAGATATTCTTGGGTCTGAAAATTGTAAGTTCTACAAAAAAAGATGGCCGATGTTGGATGGCATGTCATTTGAGGATGTTTTGATCAGTTTTCCTGATGCTATACCTTGTGGAGTCAAGGTTGCATACTGTGGTGGTAAGATTATTCTGAATCCTGATGACTCATACATGCTGCAAGAAGGTGATGAAGTTCTTGTCATTGCTGTAGATGATGACAGCTATGCTCCAGCAGCATTGCCTACGGTGCTTTCATTTTCCTTTATAAAATAAAAATTTCCAATAAATTGCTTGGTCTACACTGCCCTGTTTTTTCCATCAATTGCATGGTCAAACACGGTACGTGCATGATAAGAGATTTGACTTGCACTTCACCTAAATCAGACTTCATTTAAGCAGATGGAAGGATTAAATTAAAAGAGAAATAAATGCAAGAAAGAAAACTATTGTGTGAATTGGCAAGTAATTTATGAATGGACTTGATTTACTTGTCACCATTTCATCAGGCATTTCACCATTTTTTCTAAAGACATTAGTTATATTTGCTTTGTCTGAAGCAATCATATTATGCATTGGGATGCTTGAATTTCATTTGATTTTGTTATTCCAATCATAAGCAGATGCATTTTAAGACTCTGACAGATAATTTTCCTCCTCATGTTCATGTTAGAAATGATTTTGTTTAAAAATAATTCAATGCGGGATGTATTTGTCGGACAGGAATTGTCAAATATTTAAGTAGTAGAACCTAAGGTCCTGTCATCTAGATGTTGTGGAATGTGGATGTTCCAGGCCATTGATTTGCTGGCCAAAGCAATATCCTGGCTTAAAGATTGTGCAAGTTGAAAATAGTTATCAATTGATTAATTTGCCCCTTCCCTCCCTTTATCTCTCTCTCTCTTTGTGAGTCACCTAGTTTTGTACATGTGATACATATCTAAGTAATTGGAAATATGGCTTCAAAACTAAAGTTTGTTAAAAAAGATAAAGAAGAAGAAGAAAGGATCAACAAAACAATGAATCACAATTAGGGGAGTCATTCGTATAAAGAAAGTTTTAGTTTTGCCGGCTAGGATGATGCCTTCCATGGAATTTAACTAAGTGGGGCATACCATAATCATAAAACTTACATAAGTATAATCAATTTGATCATTCAGGTCAAAGAAGCATCATTCATACATATTGCCCGACCAGCAAGAAAGCCACAGAAGATTCTACTTTGTGGATGGAGGAGGGACATTGATGATATGATTGTGGTAAGTTCTTTCTGCTGTAGCCCCTAATTCTTTCTCTTTTTCACCTAATGCTGCAGGTAAGGAGGGGAAAACTGCCCAAGGACTTTATTGTTCCACAGTCTACAGAAAGGATACTTTTTTGTGGCTGGCGAAGAGATATGGAAGATATGATTATGGTAAAGTTACTAGGAAGCTACATTTGTGCTCCCAAGACTTCTGGGGTGCAATCTTGAATGTAGACAAAGTGGTGGTACTTTGGAATTTGTCTGCCACCAGTAAACCATTTCTCAGTTTTGCTCTTACTGGCAATAAGTCTTCAAATATTCTGAAACTTTCAGTTCATCTATTTAGGCGCAAAACAGACAACTCAATTTTGTATGCACGATGTAATGGTATTGTTTAATCATTTCTGTTGTTTTAGGTGTTAGATGCCTTCCTAGCGCCTGGTTCAGAACTTTGGATGTTCAATGAGGTACTTGAAAATGATAGGGAAAAGAAGCTTATTGATGGTGGTCTAGATCTCAGCAGGTTGGAGAATATAACACTAGTTAATCGTGAGGGGAATGCTGTTATACGACGTCATTTGGAAAGCCTTCCCTTGGAATCGTTTGACTCGGTGAGTAGCATCATGTCTGGTGTATTTATGATTATTATATGTTATAGGAAGAAAACTATAATTGATAATCATCATGAATTAGGTGCTCACTCAGTAAGTGTGTTTCTCCAGCCGGCAGGCTTTAAGAAATTTTCATATACTTAGAAGTGAAAATTTTCAAGTCTTAAGACTAAATATATTTCAATGTGGTATCTTGTTTCACAGATTCTAATTTTGGCTGATGAGTCGGTTGAAGATTCTGCCATTCAAGCAGATTCCAGATCTCTTGCCTCATTACTTCTGATTCGTGATATTCAGGTAAGTTGAAATACGACCATGAGGAAAATTATGAGTAGAAAGAGCTTTTGACGTGTTCAAGTCATTCTTAGCTGCCGTCTTCTGATTGCTTGTGTCAATTTAGTAACCAGTTCCTATGATTATTGTCAATCAAATACTATCCATTTCACATATCTGCTTCTTCTAACACAAGACATTGGTTTTGCCTGATATTTCTACTTGGAGGAACATTTTTCATTATAAATAGTAGATCCTTTATGGAATATGACAATGTTTGATGGTATATTTGCATACTGACCATGAGATTGAGCTGTTCTTTTCCATCATTCCGGTCCTTGCAGGCTAAGCGTCTTCCATGTAGAGAGGCTATGGTAACCCAAGCTAACAGAGGTAACTTCTCACCAGGTTCTTGGATTGGAGAGATGCAGCAAGCTTCTGATAAATCAGTGATAATAAGTGAAATTCTGGATCCTAGGACTAAGAATTTATTATCCATGTCAAAGATCAGTGATTATGTTTTGTCAAATGAACTTGTCAGCATGGCGTTAGCCATGGTTGCGGAGGATCGACAGATAAATGATGTCTTGGAAGAGCTGTTTGCAGAAGAGGTAGTCTTTCCCCTCCGATGAACTACTAAAGATTGATCTTAGCCTCTGAGTAACTAATACGTTGTTTTGGATTTAACAGGGAAATGAGTTACAAATAAGGCAAGCAGATCTCTACCTCCGCGAAGGTGAGGAATTGAGTTTCTTTGAAATATTATTACGAGCTCGAAAGAGGAGAGAGATCCTTATTGGTTATCGCTTGGCTAATGCCGAGAGAGCTGTCATCAATCCACCTTCCAAAAATGAGACAAAGAGATGGTCTCTGAAGGATGTCTTTGTGGTAATTGCAGAGAAGGAATAATCCCTCATTCCTGGAAAAGGAAGAATATCCTTCTGCAACTGGTGAAATCTCGAACATCCTGCACTGATCAAAAGAACGAACATCACCATCTCGATCTGACTGAATTTAATCCAAACAACGAGCACCACCTTCCCGATCACTTACACTAGAAATCGATCTCAAAAGCATTGAAACACGGCTCCTTTCCGATTACTGAATGGCTGCCTTTTTTTTGTTCGTATTGTGAATATAGATTGATCTTGTTGTATTACAAATCTTGAATATAGGTTAGGTGTATTGGACTGAAGTTTAATTTGAGTAGAATGGTCCGGAAACATTTGTGTTTGAGATCTTGATGGCTGGTTTGTATAAAATGAAGGATATGCAGACTGTGAGGTTGCAAAGTAAGCCTGTGCAGGTGGCATGTGTGAGGGGTGTGAGACAGGATTACTATATTCTAGCATGGGTTGGTATCTGTGGTTCTGATTTCCTTGAAAAATTGTGTCAAATTAATTCATATGATCACCAAATTAAGAATTAATGCAATATGAAACCAGTTAAATGTGTTTCTCTGTGCCAAATCTCATCACGTAAATACTGTAATTAATTTGAGTTAGATGGTTAGAAAACTAATCAGTGAGTTGTATAGAAATTAGAAAAGTAATTACTATTAATTAATACCTCTATGGATTGATTGTCGTTGTTTGATATCATGTGTAAACAATCAGAGAAACATGGAAAGCCACGAATTCTTTGAAAGTGGATTGTTTGACAGTTACATCCAATGCCAATCCTTTAGCACTAACCAGTGAAGGACGAAGGCCTCTCCATTCTTCAGGAATTCTCAAATAATATATTAAAATCTCTAAATGGTAAGTTAACAGTGATGGATGGAGCATCAAGAATTCTTCCATGGCGGGTTGAGTGTCAACGCAGTTAACACTGACTTGAAAGTCATTGCCATGACTGAAGGGAGATGACTCCAATCGGCAGTAAATATAGTCAACGAGAAAGAAATTAACATTACAACCCACGAACACAAACCATTCCAGAGACGGAAGTCTCAAGCTTAATCTCCTTTAAACGATGACATTTAACCAACCACAAACATTTCAGCATCGACGAAGAAATGTTCAAAGTTTCCAACATGCAGCCTCCCTTCAATCTCAGTTCCCGAAGAAATGGCAACTTTCTGGGAACTTGAGTTTGAAGCCACTAGTCAATTATGTTCGGAATCTGTAAATTTAGTTTCGTCGAAGTTTTATACGGCAAAATCGCCAATCCGCGGCGCCAGTGAGAACCGCCGAGCGTCAATCCGATGACAAAACAAAGGTCCAACTCTTCATTCCTGTCAACAGTAAGTTGCAAGCATTTGGCAATTACACGAACTTGTGTGATAATAGAGAACAATATATGCAAATTAGTTAAACCCAAAGGGGTTAGCTTGAGGCAGTTAAATAGGTTTGTTCCATTTTTTTTAATTTTGAGTTTAAGGGAGTATTTTTTTGAGCTTATAAGTAACAAGTATTTATAAGCTAATTTTAGCTTATAAGCATTTAAAATTTTAAGCAATTACGTGTTTGGTTAAAGTATTTATAAGTGACTGATAAGTAGTTGACGTGTTTGGTAAAATGTGGCTTATAAATACATTTTATTATAAAATGACTAAAAGAGTATTACATTAAATAAGAGTATACTATAGAATTTTTAAGATTTTGAGTTTAAACTTTAGGGTTACTTATCATAATAGTATTATGACTTATTTATTATTTCGGTTTATAGGATATTCAATAAACCCCGAAGATTAATTAAGGTAAACGCAAGCTTGACCCGAACACCATGATTACCAAGAAAAAAAAAAAAAAATATATATATATATATATATATATTAAAGTTGGATAAAGTTAAAACATAAAAATAAAGGAAATGAGGTTTATATGACAATGGACCAAGTTTAATTTAATAATAAAAGTTCAATGATATTTTTCAAATTATATTTAATTATATTATTGAAATTTTTAATACAAATTATTAAGTTGCTAATTTCTTGAAAAGGTTATTAATGGTGACGGGGATCAGGGCCTCCAGGACTCAGTCGCTTGGAATCAAAAAACTTTCCCAGAATTTCTTGTCTTTTTACACCATCTTTGAGCATTTCCTTGGCGTTCTCCATCAACACACGACCCTCATCGTTTGAATATTGTTGGGATTCAAAATGCCTCTCAATGATCTTCTGTTTCAGCAAACTCGTCCTGGAAACTTCTTGCAGGCTCTCTGAAAATGCTGTATCGCTATCAAGAGGACGAGTTAGACAGGTTAAGAAGAGACCCGAAACCAAGAAAAGGCACAACAAAAACCTGAAGCTAAAGGCCATTTTTGCACTGAAGCTAGCTCTCAGAAGTCAGAAGCTGGCATATAAATGTGAAGTGTATAATTTGAGAGCAAGAATGAGTTGCTTTATATAGAACTCGAACGTCCATCTCACTTTTGATATTAAATGTCGTAAGTGTCTGAATTGGATCACTCAACCTGTATTTTAACTTTAGTGCTCAGTCGACTTTCTGCAGCCAGTCAAATCAGATTAGGAGTGACAACACGTCATTAAGATTAAGAGAGTAATCTTATTTGAACATCTCTGATTGTTTATTTATTATAAATTAATATTAATTAATAGTTAAAATTTTATGAAGTTATTTGATATATAAATTTAATTTGTATTTTTCAATAATCCTATTATTTTCCTAAGATTAAGAGTTAATCTGACTTTATCATAAGTCTCTCTGCTGAAATTAATACTATTCTCAGTTTGGGTTTGAATTGTGATGATCATGATTAAAAGCCTTTTGAAATTTAATGGAAGGTGACAGTGAGAATGAGATGGTCGCCATCGAATGAAGGCGTCTGAATCTGAATTGTTTATTTCCTCTTTGTCTCTCTCATTTTAACTCGCTCACAAAGCACAATCACAAGTCATAACATAATATTTTTTAATTTTTATGAAAATTAGTTTATAAATATTTAAAATTTTAAACAATTACGTGTTTAGTTAGACCATCTCCAACTCATTGCACCAATTTGGTGCAAAATTGCACCAAATTAGTGTAAATTTTGATGCAAAACACTATTTCATCTCCAACCCACCACACCAAATATTACACCAAAAAGAATATTCTTTTTTTTTTATTTTATTGTAATAATCAACAATTAATCTATTTCACTCATTATTTTTGTATATATTAACTAAATATTAGGAATGATATTTTTATTAAATAATAATTATTTTGATGACTCTAGTTCTTTTCAATATTAAATAACAATTAATCTATTTCTTTTATTGTAATAACTCTAGTTCTTTTCAATATTTTGATGATCTTATCCGGAATTAATCTACCGGAATACTAAATTGTTATTTGAGTTTATGTTGTATTTTTTTTTAATTTTAGTGTTTTTAAATTAGTGTTAATTTTTATTTTGAGTTATTGTAATTTAATATTTGCATTGAATAAAGTTCTATTTTTAATTTTTCATCATTTTTTAAATTATATCAGTATTATAAATAATAATTAAATTAATACAAATACTCAAATTTGATGTGATTTTTGGTGTAAAATTTAATACTCAAATTAACTTACAAAAAAATCAAAAACAAAAAAAAGCAAAATTTCAAAAATATATATATATTTTATTCTACAGTGCTGCGCCATTTTGGCGCAGTGCTACAGTACTGCGCCAATGTAGCACTGTACCAAATCGCGCAGTGTTTGGCGGGGTTGGATACCAACCCATGCCAATTTGGTGTTTTTGTGCCATTTTAGCGTGAGTGGAGATGCCTTAAAGTACTTATAAGTAGTAATAAGTAGTTGACGTGTTTGGTAAAATATAATTTATAAGTACATTTTATTATAAAATAACTAAAAATGATACTACATTAAACAAGAGTTACTATAGATTTTAAAATTAAACAGAGTAATATGATAAATATATTGATCAAACTAGTTTATAAACAGATGTTTTAAAAAAAAAAAAAAAAAGTACCTCTCCTAACTTGTTTTTTTTTTTTTTTTACTTATAAACTTGAAAAAGTTATAAACAAACATATCAACCTAATTTTAGAGATGATAAACATGTCTAACTTATAAGCTTTTACTAACACCACCTTAAATCCCGCTTTTTTCACTGCTACCTTTGATACGACAAAATGGAACAGAAACCGACCAGAGAAGTGAAAAGCGAATTGGAAGCCACCAGTTGTCCATTCCTCTCAAGAATGCTTATATATAAACTGCATATTTGATTCCTCTATCCATTCCTGTCTTTATAATTCTATTCATTTGCGTTTTTTGTTTTAACTGTAATCTTGTTCTTCTTCGCAGTTCTTTGTCTGTTCTTCTTCACATAAGACGCCTGTTTGTAAGACCTCTATCCATTCCTCGGATTACCATCAATCCATACAAGTATTCATTTGTGTTTTTTTTTTTTTTTTTAATTTTCAGAATGCTTTGATTCCTTAGAAGGTATGGTTTTAAGTTTTAACTACAATCTTGTTCTTCCACGAACTTCCTCAAAAGAAGGAACAACAGTTAAAAGAGCATCGTCCTCAACCTGCTCTGGAATCACTTGACAGAAACCGGCAACACCTGAAGAACCCTACGAAGGATACAGGTCTTGATAATTATGAACATTATTGATCAGAAGAAATTTCACCATCAATATGCAAATACAAGGGGTGTTTTACTGAAGGATTCATTAAGTTATTACTCGAACCAAAAGGTCAAATGAAAATCGCTGTGAAATTACATACAGAAACTGTAATGATCACCCTGAGTATTCGGTCCACAAAGTGAAAGTGATGAGCTTCGGCAAATACATCCATTGCAAATTTGCAATGCACAATCTGTCAATGAAAAGATTGACATGTACGCATCTCATAATTGGTTGATTGCAGTAGCGGATCCAGGAATTTCTTTTAGGGTGGACCAAAATAAAAATTTATTATACATTACTATTTTTGTCCATTAATATTTTTGTTAGGGTGGACCAAAATATATAAATTATACATATTAATATTAAAAAAAAAGAATTTGAGGATGGGCCATGGCCCACCCAAAAAGTGGCTGGATCCGCCACTGGTTGATTGTACATGTAATTTTCTTTATCGTATTTCTGTTTCATGTCAACTTCAACAACTTCAACTTCCATGACCATAGCATGCAGTGTTTTGTAAACTTCAAGCATTCTCGGCTTTTGATCACAGAAGGGCTGAACACATTGACATGCGAGTAAGGAATTGAAGGCGTTGATGCTGGATTTTAACATCAATTATTCGCACATACAAAGTGTCAAGCGGACTTAAAAATTAAATGTGAACTAGGAATGGAAATAAATAAATAAAAGAAGACTATTTTTAAAGTAGTTTATATGCTCAAAGCGAATGCGTATGT